AGCGTTGTCTCTGTTCCTCCCAAAGAGATTCCGTTGCAAGATACCTCCACCCGTATTTGTGGCATCAGCGTTGTCTCTGTTCCTCCCAAAGAGATTCCGTTGCAAGATACCTCCACCCGTATTTGTGGCATCAGCGTTGACTGGGTCCAGGCTCAGTAAGGCACGGCTGGCTGTAAAGACATCACCAAACGGGTTCCGATTTCTCTTTAGCGGATTCTGATCGAAATTACCTATTGGGAGAGCTGCGATGAACGAAATAATTGCTGGCACGTCTAATCTTTTAAGCGAATCTAGCTCCTCAGGAGTTAGGGCTTCCTGCAGCTTACTCTCTAAATCACCATTCTCGTTAGTGTTGCTCTGGTCGGATGGCGCATTTTCATCGTCGACCGCGTTCGACGCACTGCTCTCATCGTCTTCCGTTTCCCGGCTCGCAGAGTTGTCGTCGTCCGTCGATCCGTCAATCCCGTCGAAGTTACTCATGATGAGCCGTCCTGTGACGGTGTTCAGAAATTGAAGCAGCCCTCTTGTGTCGTCGGTGAAGTCAGGTATATCGAGATCGATGGTCTTGGTCAGCTTATCGATGCCTGCTGGTGCCGCGTGGAGCCCTGATGCATGCGCCAGCACTACAGCATGTGTGCACAGCGCCAGTGTAACGACAGCACGCAGTGGGATGAACATCGTTGCGATGTTGTCGTCGCCTCGTGTTAGTCTGGTCTCACGTGCACTTACTCAGTCGGCGACAGAAGGAGCAAGGCTTTTATATCGTATATGTGACCCCTGATTCGCTGGTTTAAATGCCTTGACCCACCGTGTCGTTGTAGGTGTGCACGTCTCCCCGTGGCGCGGCTTGAGTTCCGTGTTCCGTGTTTTGAGTTAATGGGTTTTTAATGTACATATAGGCCTACTGATTAATAGCCTGCTGCAGAGAATGTCACCCGCCAGCTACCGTGAGTGACAAATGTCGTGGCTCCGTCCCAACCTCAACGTGTGTACGTGTGCTCCGAACGTTTTACTGGCAAAGTGATTAAACGACGAATTGTTTTCAGGGGATATAAAAATGCAATGTTAGGGGTAATATGTTGTGTAGGGTGAGTGCAGTGAGTTCTACAGTGTCATGATAGGTGACCGAAACGAAAGCATGCATTGTTCGCATCAGTGCTAAAATGGTGCACACACTTTACATGTCTCTAACCACATGTCTGCTATACTATGCTAGAGATATCAAGTTCAGTAAAATTGTGAGACGGTTTTACACATCTTTAATGCAAGGCACCAACTCCTTAGATTTGCTAATATAATTAAGCCATAGATGTTTTGAAAGTCGCTTATCGTTAGGGTGACGGTCAATACTGAATGATCCTTACAAATATACTTCAAAAGTGAAAACAACAATACATGTACCAATGTTTGTAACAACTTTTCAAGGCAAAATATGGGGTGCGACTCATACATGAATAATACCTTGATAAATACTTATACACGAGTAAATACAGTGCATGTAAAATCGTAATGAAATTCACCAATCGTTGGATTTGTGCCCTGGCGGACGTGCCGCTCGCTATTATTGCACTCCCCTGATTGCAAGTTTTTCCTCAACTCCACGGCAAAGCGGTTTGCTGTTCGTCCTCTCATACGCCCGCGATCCTCACGCCAACATAGTCCCAGTAACCCTGATATATGGCCCCCAACCGACCTTATCAAACAATCGTGCCCCTTCCCCCCCTTCCCCCCCCAGTCACATCAATCCAATGACCGCCCCGCGCCTGAAATAATCGTAATGGTATATGATGTCGGCTGTCCCGTGGCTGGCTTTTTCCAGTGACCTTTACAAAACCGTTTGACGTTCATAACGTCGTGGCGCGAGATAGTGCCCGCTCAAAGGAATGTTTAGCAATATTAAAACACAATAAGAGATTTCCCAGTCTTGGCGTCTAGCCGAGAACCTCAGGGCAGCAAATAACTTGTCCCGAACACTGACTGTTCACTTGTCCGGTCAATCGCGACAATAGTGTCGAGGGCTGCCGTCTAACCCCGAGTTAGCAGAGGGGTCTTAGCTGCTACTCGGTCATGCCACATCGTGGCAGCTCATGGCTCCTCCCCCCTGTCACATGAAACATATGGCTGGTCACGCTATCAACTTTCTGTTTGAAAAGTTGAGAGTTCGACATCACATCATCTTTCGAGCTATCTGACGATAAGTCGGCCTATGTTAAAATATACGTACCTCGCATACTGATCAAGAGATAGATTAATAGGAATAGCCATAACTACGCGAGGGGGTCCTCGATTATCTACCTACATGACTTCTTTCGGTCATTTCATATAGTGTACTACCCAGCTTAACAAATATCATAAACTATAATAGAACCTAAACTGACACATAGCACATCATGTCAGACTGTGTATCGTCACAGATTATATGCCACTGTTAGTGTTGCGAGAGCTAGGACAAATGTTCGCACACCTTAGACCGCACCGAGGCTGTCTGCACATGCGGTCAAGCAAATAACATAGCTAGGATTGTACACATGCATTCTCAAATAGTTAGCTACGAAGCGCAGTGATTTGTTACTCACTGTGAGGCAAATACTGCTTACTGCAATGTAGCGACCGTGTTGCCACCCGTGGAGATCACACGTCTAATCGGTGATTAGACACGGCATGAAATAGCCAATAATGGTGAACAGCCCCACCCAAATTGTTCAACATGCCTATAGACAAATTGACGGGCCTTCATCATAACAAGATTGAACATTGCCCTTAATTTTGTTTAAAAGCTTATTCCTATAATTAATAAAAGTATTTAGCTTTTGGTTTTATCTAGAGCCAATACTCACTTGATTTTCATATGTTCATTCCCTATCAGTGGATTTCTACTATGTTTGACAGCGAATTGCAGTGAACATGAATTTACTTCTTAGTAGTCACTAAGTAATGCTGAGAGCGCTATGTCCCCCGTCCGGTACTCACGGAACTTTACTGCCCTCCGTACTATCTAATATGCCGCTACCATACCTCGTCCTACTCACTAGACGCAGTCTAGGTGTCACCTACGCCTACTCCTAACCTAACCACTAATCTTAACCCTAACCCTAACCATATCCAACTACGTGACCAGGTTACGTTCGCCAGTCCGGCCGCGGACATAGATCCTTATGGAGCCTAAGTAAAACCTGTCAGGAAATTGGTAAATATTCCGTTGATATAAGGCCAACATAAAGCAAATTCCTGAACTAGCCAGTGGATACTGATTAGATATTAGGCCCCTATGATGCGGGCAAATCTAAACCACGGTCGGCCACCGGACAATAACTCGCTCAAAATTTTCGCGCACTTGTATAGTATAAGCTTTGAGAGGATCTATGTCCCAACGTATGCCAAAAACGTACCTGCGGTACTATACTAAAATATGCGACCGGTTCTACCTCTCGCGTACTCGACTAAGCGTCTTGGGAGTCACCTAGCCTATCCTGTAACTCCCTAACCTAACCCTAAATCTCTAACCCTCCACACCTAACCGCGCTTAATACCTAAACGCTAACCCCATATCATAATAGTACCAGGGCCGACGTTTCCCGGGGGTCCGGATCTGTACCATCGGGCGTACAACAGCCCTCCATCAAGCGCATAAGTAAATGCGGCCAAATCTGTCATAGATTGCTTCATATTTATAACACGGAAAGATAAAGTACTATTTCCACGTCTACTATTCTAATATTATATAAATTAATTAACGTGGGTCTTCAACAAATTTACCACTATTTACCGCCCGGATGTCCGTTTGACAAAAGAGAGAATGATTGGAACAACATACGACGGTATTAAACGCTTCCATTAGGACTGTTGGCCGTTCCCTCGATTATCACTTAATCGATAACATGACTTAAGTGATGATATCACTCGAACTAACTCCTTATCCCCTGTTAACTCCTAAACATGATATTACACCACAAAAAACTAAATATAAATCTACGCATTACCCATACTATAGTCACGTACGGTTACTCACTATAAGATCACTATATATAATATTCACTATAACTATAGTTTAATATGATATCTACTTATAATATCTTATTAAACTGACCATTAATGACATCTAAGTTCGGGAACTTCCTAAGGCTCAGCTATCATCTCCCAACAAACAGCCAGTCAGAAGTAGATCCGAGAACCAGCGTATCACTTGCTTTACCGGACAGCAAACTATGAACAATAGTAGCAAAGGCCCTACGAGCTGGAGAAGGATCAGAAGGTGGAAAGAGCAAGAAATATCACCATATTTACGTGCTTTCGAAGGGGACGAAGCATGCGGGCTAACACCTGCAGCGTGTTCTAAATTGACCTACCCAGCCAGCTACAAAGCATACACCTCAGCCATAATAAAAAAAATTACTGTTATGCCCCTCACACCTGACGCCGCAAAAAAGCGCGACTCAAATTGTATCGCTGTGTCATTACTTACTAAAATCGGTACGCGCAAACCAGATCCGTATTACATTGTCACTCAAAGCAAAGCAAGCAATTCAAACAAAAGGTTACTCTCCACACAAGCACACCGAGCATGTAGACACCTCGCTCTAGTACTATAGCCGCTTGACTCCATGAACTGCCGCTGGCTATAGCCGACCACCATGATACGCGTGCATGCACACTCGCTAGGCCAACTTCATCCCCCGGTATATATCCCGCTATAAGTCTGTGCTAGCGCAATTAATCGCTCTTACTCCCGAATCAGTGGAATATTCCTCTAAGTATACTGAGCCCGCTTAACTAACAATTGAACTTAATATTCGTCTGACATATGAATGTATACTTGCAGTATTTTCCATTGTCGACACAAACACTTCGTATTTGCCACCACCTCTCAAACACCGTCATGACCGCTGGGCTTAACTCACGACCGCACCCATGGCCACTACACATGACCCAAACGTACTCCGCTTCCTCACAACAGCGGATAGATCTTATGTATTTCTCCGCATGTGAGGGGCCGTGGGCGGTTTCGTGTGGCCGTTCGTGGACAAAACCATTGTTGTGTACAGCTAACAATTTAGTGCTGATTCAACAGAATACTGCTATTATTAGTGTTTGTCATGAAGATGTGAACAATTATATTCTATAATTTGATTACTCGATCACACAAAATGTTTTTAGCTGTCCAAACTCCAACACAACACCGGCCCCACCCTCTACATGCGAAAAAATACATAGCTCCCGCTGAAACTGCTGGAGCTAACGTCTGGTAACCATTAGCATGCCATCGTCTGGTCGGTCTCAATAAGCTCCCAGCGGCGGCAGTTCAAAGTAATCGAGACATATAGTACTACGCCTAGTAGCACACTAGCTCCTCACTATACTAGCCCGCGTAAGTCCTGCACGCGGCATCGTACGCGGTATCATACCTAAGCTACTAGACCATGCTGAAATTATGCTGCATCAAAGCACCCTCAAAAACACTGTCATTACCCTACCCAAAATCCTTAGCCTGTGCCTCGGGTCGAGCCAAACAAAAGATTTTTTTATTGTGGCCTCATAGATGGCGTGTTTAGATTCCTAGTACCAGGCTAGCTAAACAACAATAATGTCAACAAATGAAAATAATATTCCAAAAACTTCACTTAGCATTATATAAATGTAGTTTTTCGTGCAGGTGCATTCATTAGCGCTCAGCTAAAGTTCTTTCGAAACATCTGCAACACCAGCGACGTCTTCTTACTGCTCGGTCGGTGCTCATTCCGTACCTGACTGCACCATAAGGCATGTGCCTCAATATCCTGTTTCTACCCTTCCGCGGGATCGCCACTTCATTATTGTGGAACTGTAGACAGTTGAACGGCGATATATCACCATGCCGCCCACTCCTAAACAAGCAAGCCATATCACTCGGGGCTGAGGGTCGATTGTCGACATACTATATTCATGTCGAGTATACTACCGTCTTCGGCGAGTATGTTTCGCCTACGCGTCTACCTCCCATAC